CCTGTGATTTCAGTAGCTATTGTTTGTAAATTCAGAAAACAGGGACATCTGCAAATTAATGCTAAATTCTTTAGAAAAAATTGTTAAATACGGTTTAAAAATTTTTTTTAAAATAAAAATAATGTTACAGTGAATGCACTATATTGGAAATGCTAACGTGCAGATGGAGAATCATAGACCAGAAATCACAGGTCACTAATGAATCACACATCTGTGACTCATGAAGGTGATGACGTTGGTTCCTGAAGGACTTGGTGAAGGTGGAGGACATGTTGATGGACAGGATCATGTTCTGAGACGACACGTTCGTCCAGAGCATTTCACAGATGTTTAATGGCCGACATATGTGGAGAGAATGCAGGCTGCAGTATCAGCTGCTTCACTGCATAGTTGTGCCGACATGAAGACGTCTGATGTCTTGTTGAAACCTGCAGGTGATGGTGGTGGATGAACTCTGGCTGTGAAGGGTTCACGTCAATATCGTTGGGTGTTGAGATTGCTGTCAATGAAATCCAGATTTGCTCTCTGTCCATGGTAAATCCATGCATATACCATCACTCCTCCGCCTCGATGTTGACGCCTGCCATCTTCTCTGTACAGCTAGAAACGAGATTAATCCGTCGTCCATCTTGCTGGTGTCCATCAAGCTTGACCGGTCGTCGCCTGGAGCCAATTATAACCGCTGTCAGAGCAAGGCCTCGGGCTTTCCTCGAACGATTCCTCGCAGTTTGAGCAGATATTCTCTCGTTGTGCAGACCAACAGCTTCATCAGAAGTCTGCGTAGTCGACTGATTCAGCAGACGGATGAGGCGGATGTGATGATCGTGGCCTCGAGTGGCGACACGCGGTCGGTCGGCCGTGACATGAGATGACATATAAATGGAGTGGAGGACATTCAACAGCATTCAACTGTAGCATTGTGTCATTTAAATAAGGCCTTTTATTGACATGTATCAATGAATCCAGTCAAACTATTTTATCTTTAACTTGACTAATGGCTGAGAATTGAACTGTTAGATCACTTTGTGGTTGGTTAACTTGAACCCTTTTCCAACCACAGCAGTACAAATTAGATTTAGAAGTTTTTCTCCAGTTGAGGAAGGAAAACAATCTGCTCATGCATCTGGTTTCAGTGCAGAAAAAAAACACAGTATGCTGCAGAAAATGGGCTTATTGTGTTCAGCAGTTGTTTGGGAATGAAGTGTTTTGAGTCCTGGCACACCTTCAGCCTCCACGTGAGGACCCTGACATGGTTTTGGCTTCCTGCTGTCAGCTGATGCTCCTCTCCGCTGCCTCTAACCCCGCCCTCTCGGGGCGCGCTGGGACAGCGAATCAAACAGATTGGGGGAGTATCAGCAGCGGCAGCAGCAGCAGCAGGAGGAGGAGGAGGAGGAGGAGGAGGAGATCCTCAACTTGGCTCTCCGGAGTCGGCGCTCCTCCCGGCGCGGTGCAGTCTCAGCTCTCCACCGGACCCGGTATGAGGAGCCAGTGAGCCGCGGCCACCGTCAACCATGCAGGCGGAGGACATGGAGGTACCTATCATTAATAACCTTAACGATAACGGCGACAGACAGAGGCCGAAAGGGAAAGATGTGTTCAAGGAGCAGCAGAAGGAGTCGGAGGTAAATCCGAGAGGCGTTCGCGGTGCCACGGGAGCGCACCGGAGGGGTGTGTGTGTGTGTGTGTGTGTCCGCATATATATATATCTATCTATGTGTGTGTGTTGTTGTTGCTGGGGAGCTTTCGGATCAGCTCAATGTCCTCTTCATGCACCGAGTCCATGTCTGGGCTCCAGAGCATGCAGCAGCAGCAGCAGCAGCAGGGACTCATGCAGGCAGACAGCGAGGTGTTATTTTGGCAGCCGGCTCCTATAAATAACCAGCAGCAGTAATCCTACAGCGGAGAATGCAGGTGGTGAAATGTGACTGCTGCTGTCAGGACCACAGCAAACAGATCAGGATTTCACATTAATGCAGGATTCATGTCTCACTGTTCTCTCTGTCCTCACAGTGTCCTTTGACATTTGGACCTGCATTTAACCAAGACTTCACTCAGATCAAACCCATTTTTGATATTTTACTGGTTTTTGAATGCTTTTGATTGAAGCTCCACAAATGCATTTAATGTCTTTGGTAATGTGTTAGTTTGGGTTTGGGGCTGAGTGAAAGAATAAACTGATAATGAAAACAAGCTTTTCATGACTTAGAACCTGCAGCATTTTCTGTAGAGCAATGGGTTTTTCAAGGACAACATCTGAGAGCTGGAGGGATTATTAGATTTGCACATTAAAAAGACACTTAACCAGCAACTATTTTGAGAATTAACACTATTTTTTTAGCTAAAAATTAAAGGATTTGTTGTTTTTTTGCTGTTTTTTTAACACTGTTATTTGAATAAACCAAGCAGTTTGAAGATTTTCTAAAATAATCCAAAAATTAATCTGAATAAGTCAGTTCCTTTTATGCGATCAGAAACAGTCCCACAGGTGCAGCTGACAAGCAGATTTTATGCCATTTTTAAGAGTGTTTGGAGTCAGCTTTTGAAATATGGACCTGCAAGCAGGAGTCTCTTCTGCTTTTCTAAACATTTGGCTTGTGCCGAGTCGTACAACCGTCTCTTCTGGCGCCGTGCAGCTATAATTCATCCTCCTCATGAAAAAATTACAAGGAGATGGGGGTTCATTCCTGGGGTGGCTCAGCTCTCGGAGATGATCGGGGCCCTTTCATTGTGCTTTGAAAGAGCACGCTGAATGGTTTGGAGGGAATTGGAGCATATTCATCTCGGATTCTGGGACGGAGGAGGGGGTTGGTGACGGCGTGGTGGCTGAATGACGCGGACTTTAAAGGCGTCAAAGCCATGTGTTGATGCCGTCCGGCCTTCTCCGCCGTTTGTCCTTCCGCTGAGTGAAGTTAACCTCAAACCCGATTCAGTCGTGTGTGTGAATTGTTGGCCATTTGTGCCGGCCGGAGTCAGTCATCTGTTGTCCGGGCGGCATATGTCGGTTAGGAGTGGGGGGGTGGTCGGCGTTGACACTGTGCCCAGTGTTTGCACTGCTGATGTGGTGCAGAGAGCAGAAGCTGTGCCAGGCTGGAGCGGGGACGGCTTTCGTTATCAGCTGGCGGCAGATTTGGAGGGAGAGTCGGGCGAACGGGGCTGGATGAGAAAACAAAGGGGTGAAGAGAGGAAGGATTGTGTGTTGGTGCTCCAAGGAATTAGACAAAAAAAAGGGTTTGGACTAGAAGAGTCACTTTGGGTTTAGGGATGCCAGTTCTCCTGCAGGACGAGGCTTTCCTCTTTGATGACTGATCAGCCGTTTATCCAGAGAGAATATCAAACAATCCCTGCTTCTGTCTTTGCAGAAGTGCAGGGTTTGATGTTGCAAACTGAAAAGCTTTGCTTTCAATCTGCTGTTGAAGATTAAAAGTTCAAGTTTTTAGCCTAGAAATCGTCTCCTTATGGTGTCTGTTAGATGCTAGAAAACATCCTTACTGCCTTGAACCTGCAGCATAACAGTCTCATGGATTCAGACTTCCTGAAACTAAACGAATCAATCCTGTCAGCTTTTTCATTTTATTCTTCCTCTTCAGAATCGGTTCAAACATGTTTTTTTTCTGAATGACTCCATTGTTCCAGCTTGTGTTGGTGTGTATTACAATGTTTGTGAGCTGCAGCGAGGGAAGAGGGGCAAGAAGCACATCATAGATCTAAACAATGTAGATTTTAGGGGATAAATCAATTAATGGAGAGACATTTTAAAGGTGTAAAGTAGAAGCTATTAGGATGTGTAGGTGTTTATTTCTGTCATCAAGTTGAGGTACATTCAGAGATGTTGGAAACTAACTTGAAACCAAACAATAAGGACTGTATGTGTTCCTGTGTTTCCATGCCAGTGTTTTCATCTGTTTGCTTCTCTCCTGCTCTCTGTGCTCACATGTTCTGCATTTTAAAACAGCTGATTTCCCCAAAAAGCTGTTCTCATTACATATTTTTGCTGTTTCTGTGGTCGAACAACAGAGCGAGTATAAAATAGAGATTGAAATGTGATCCACCAGCGGTCGCTTCAGAGCTGTTTGCAAGCTGCAGCTCTGCAGAGCTCGAGTCGTGGTTTTATGAAGAAGAAATCAAAGGAAAGTCTCATAGATGGATTCATGTCTTTGAGCTGTTTTGTTCAGTGCTGTCAGTCATGGATGCAGAGAGAGTCTTCTTCCTGAAGCTGGTGTGGACAGCAGCAGCTAAAACAGGACCAAAACAAGCAGTTATGAAGCGATGAATGAACCAATCTTTGCAGTATTTTGATCTGCAAAAAGAGATATGAGAAACTTTTAATGAATTTGCTCTAAAAGGACACACTGTATGACCTTTAAAACTCCTGAACACACATTTTCTCAGTGAGATTTTAATATGATCAACGAGGTCATTGACTCTTTTTTTATGCTAAAGCCGAAGCAGTTCTCGTGTTACATTTTGTGTTTGTCCTCTGTTTGACCTCTTTTCACTGGTCTCAACTGAGTGGGCCTCAGCTGGGAGAAAGGAGGCGTCACATACTTGAGGGCATCAGTTAGAGTTTAGTGGAGTCAAAATGACACTTGTGAGGGTTTTTTTTGGTTATGTTGCTGTTAATCATAGAAAAAAAGCAACGACACATGAGTCAATAATGAGGAATGAATGCTAACACTGATAATATCCCACAACAAGCTCCTGTATATCTGAGGTTGTAACCTTTTATTGCTATTGATCACATGCTGTCTAAAAGCTGAATTTGTAACGATGCACTGCACCGCTCGGCCACCCCAAACTTTCATCTCCTCCGTGCGCTGTGGTTTACTTCATAGTGATTTGTAGAGTTTCTAACAGGTTGTGAAGGTGAAGCTCCTGGCCACAGACCCGCAGGCCTTCTTCATCTCCACTCTGAGTAATAAGAAGTAATTTTCCTCAATCATCGGCGCTCCCCAGTGGTTTTCATTTCCTGGTTTACAAGTGCAGTAACGACATCAAATGGCATTACAGCAGCTCGCTGTCATAAACAAACTGCCGGCCGACGTCCTGCATGCTCCGCTTCATGCTGACTTGGTTGCAGCAGGTATTTATAGGAGACGGTTACATGGCAGCACACGGAGTTATTTAACCAGGAAAGCTGACTCAGAGAGAACATCCTTATTTACAGTCCTGGGCCGGCCCCCGGGGCAGTCTTCACGGGGTTAAACACAGCTCACATCCGTCCCTCGAAGCTTTCCTGGTGCTGTTGGGACTGTTTCTAAATTCACATTAGCATGAAATGAATATTTAATAATCCCTTTGGGGAAATTTGAGCTCACAACCCCCCCACTAAAAAGATAGAAATCTTCCAGTCCCAAGGCCGTTGCTCCTCTTTGTCCCAGGTAGTGATCAAATACACGTTTCACCTTTGCTATCATGATACTGTTTGTCATTCCCATACATGAACCCCCCCCTTTTTTAGATGGCTGCCCATGCATGTACCAGAAAACACTGTTGTTTGTATGGCTTTATGCTATCTATCGTACAGAGGTCTTTTGTCGAGTTTTGATTGTTGAATCAGTTTAACAAAAAAAAAGGCTGAAATTCTCTGATTCCTGCTTCGTAAAGTCAACTGAATGTCTTTGGATTGCGGACGATAATTGATGTTTGGAACCAACATACTTTTTAAATAAAAATCTTGGTGTCAAGATTCAGAATAGCAACAAACACTATAATTTGTTGAATTGCCTGTAAAAGAGGGAAATCTTCTGAGACGATTAGTGGACATTGGTACCAGAGCTCTCATTTATAAGGATTACGTACCTTCAGTTCAATGCAACCAAGCTGCAACTACAGCTCATGTAAACTGTCTGTTGGTAAAAGTGGCGAAATCATTGAAGACCATTGGGCTTAATTTTGCGTAACTCATCAATCTATTATGGATTGATTATGCTGCTGAAGAAAATTGTTAAAAATTGCATGTTTCAAACCTCACGTGCGGTGAATATTGAACTTAAATTAAAAACAATATCTTGCAAATCAAATCTAAATATCTGTCAGTAAAATCCCAGTTGTTCTGCCCGACTTGTAACGTTTTCATTGCGTCTTAGTTTCTGTCTCATGTTGTGATCATATGTACTCTTTTCCAAGCGAATAGTTTGTTTTACAGCACTGAGAATGTGAGCGTTTGCATGAATCTGCCTGCTTGTGTGTGTGTTGGTGGGTATACCATCACATGCTTTTCAAAACCCACTCAAAATCCATCTTATTTTTGCTTTGCCGTCAGGCTAAAGTCAAGGTTTGCTGCCTTTTTGTGAATGAAGAGTTGAAGATTTTCGATGTGTGCAACCTTGATTTCACTGCTTGCAGCCGGTGAGTGTGTGGATAGAAACTAGATGTGAGCAGTCCGTCTCATGGGCATGTGCTAATCACAGGGTGAGGCTAAAGTCAGAGCCACGAGAGGCCTTCTACCTGGAAACAGCAGCTAATCTGCTCTGAAATGGGGCCATGTTGACGGTGCATCGCTGCTGCTCGTTACGACCCCGGACTGCTTTGCCAGAGAGAGCCTCCTGTCACTGTTCAATTAGCCTGATTAAAGCTGTAGCTGTCTGCGCCCGTAGAGAGCACCTGTAATTGTAAGTGGCTCTGCATAAGAGGATCTGAGAGAGAAAAAAAAAAAGTAAATGACTGATCAGTGCCGCCTGGAAATCCAGCAGCCGGTAATAACATCGAAAAACACACATGATGCTGCGAAACGAGCGAGAGGAGTGTTTGTGTGGGTAAAGTGTGTACGCGTGTGGCTGCACATGGAGTGTAGAGTAGTGGTAGGTGTTTGTAATGCATGAATCGCCTGTGGTGTGTTTGTGTTTGTTTCTATGTGGGTGTCAGGACATCTGTGATTCGCTGGCTTCAGGTTCATACTATAATGTGTGCTAATGTGTGTTTTGGTCTTCACAGAGCTCCATGGAGTCTCCGAACCTGGAGTTTGAGTACGGAGACACGGACACACTCACCGCTGAGCTTTCAGGTGAGACTGACTACATGATAAACCTGCAGAAACCTCAGACTTTCCCTTTTAAGTCCATATGCATGCACCCCATTTGCTGTTGAACGTGTCCCTTTTGCACACACTTTCATTTTTTTGTTTTTAACCCTCTGAGTGGGTGTTTTTGGCCTTTTTTTCCCCTCACTGTGGACTTACTTTCACTGCAATATGAAGTCCTGCAACTCTATGCAAACAGTGCAACCCCGGCTACAAAGAGCAATAAGTCAGAAATGTCATATGTGCAGTATGATGTAATGTGATAAATCAGAAAATAAGACAAAAATCAAAGTTGTGATAGTTCATTTATTAATTACACAAAAGTTGAAAAAAACAGGAAATCAACATGTACAACATTTTTCCAAGTGCCCACAGGTGGTACCAGTACAGTGCTGCCCACGTAATGTCATACTGCTTTGTACAATATCCCGTTTATAATCATAAAATCATAAAACGTCCTGAATAATTTCCTGTATAACCTATAGTAAAACAGCCCGTTTCTTGTCACAGAATAATGTCTAATCCTGGTTTTTGTCATAACAAAATTCCCCAAAATTGATTCCAGGAGTAACTTTTGCCCATTTAAAGTCACGGTCGGCCATTCGTTACGCTCACGGGCCGAGCATCAGTCATGCGTGGCAGATCATCACACCCCGGTCAGCCACGGAAGGCAATGTCTTTGTTTGTTTATTCATTACCTGCTCACCTGAGATCTATTTCACTGAGTTATTCACACACGGGCTGTTATAGGCCATGTAGATGGTGCTGGTCCAATACATAGACTAGTTTTCACAGCCAAACTCGCCGCCATCTTGAAGCCTGCTTATTGGAATATCCCGGATACAGTCATAATTCCATCCTGGACCAAGGGTATGATAATAAACGGGAAACAGTTTACTAGGAAAAAAAATAAAAATAAAATTCTGCATACTGTAGATTTTTACTAATTGCAGTTTTACAACTTCTGTAAACCATCTAGTTTTAATCCTACTCTGCATATCAGCTTCAGAAAGATATTTCACCATGTTGAATCGCAACTTGCTTGTGCCATGCTGTATTTTTATTTTATTACTTTTCATTAGTATGCTGCCTATTATTTAATTTATTTGCTCTCATTTTTTGTGTTTTTCATTTCATTTGTTTCTGCACTTGTCTTAAATGTCTTATGTGCTCTGTGTAAACGAAAAATAAATTTTTGTCACGTGGCAGTCAGGTGCAATTGAATCACCGATGGCTTTAAAGCTGTGAGAAGGACTTTTGAAAAAATAAATAAATAAAAAAAAATCAATATGTTCATAGCAAATGGTTAATTTTTGAGAATTTTTTAAAAGGAGTTATGTAGAATCAAAAAATTTGGATGAAGTATCACACCTGTAAGCTTCCATTTGGATTATTCTCCTAACAGAAAGGCATGATCCCCGTGATAAGTTAAAGGGACAATTACTTCTGAATTTACAGTTTCTAGCACTGATAAATGATGGAATTTTGGCATTTAAAAAAAATGTAACATGTCAAACCGGCTGCCAGGTTTTGAGGTTCAGAGGGTTCATTTCAAGCAAAGTCAGACTTCCAAGAAAGAAATGATGAGCAGTTGTTACAGGTAGACTTCACCCACAGAATTCCTGCATTAATACAGCTGCTTCTTCCTCACATACAGATCACAGTGTGCTGCTGCTGCTCATGAATTTCTTCTGCTGTTTTACGTTACACCAGAAAAGGACAATAAGCTCACACGTGGCTGAAGGCACAAAACAGAATCTTTTGGCGATGACATGTTTTCCACACACACAGAGAGCATCGTGTGACTAATGTAATGAGTAATCGTAAACACTGTGATTATATATCGCAGAATCATCCCAGCATCTGTTTATCTGGTAACAGCTTGTATGTGACTCACAGACTGATTATTAAATGCCAAGAGATGCGTAAAAAAAAAAAAAAAAAAGTAACAGAATTCAATCACGCTGATGGATGTTTCTGATTGGACGCTGACACAGTTCAAGTGTGTGATCTAGATTTCTCTCCAGCTCCATTTGTTTTCTCACATCTAACTGAAACGTTCAATAACAGCCCCGATTCAGAGTCAAAGCGATCGTCCTCCTGGTGGATGGCACACTTCTGCCGGTTTGCCAAAAGTGTTAGTCACACTGGCGAAGACACACAAACAGTCGGGCAGCCGCAGCAGCTTTCCAGCGACAGCTCCTTGGGGTTGAGGAATGACGACTGCTCCGAGAACAGGAGGAGACGCACAACAGTGTGACGAATCATTGGACTGCACATGAAACAGATGAGATCTGCGCTGACGGAGACAGGAGCTCAGAGTCTGTCTGTTCGGTTTTTTGTAGGCCGCGTTTCGCTGTTGTTCTTTGTTGTTCTGTTGCAACTGCTGGGTTTCATCAAAGTCCTCGCCACTCAGCAGCCATCTTGGTAACGCCCCTGGGCAGATATAACGAGCTAACAAGACCAGATCTCTATCTATGTTTATTGACAGAGAGCCATAACGAGACAGTGCCTACAAACAGTTTCCCCTTTTATTGCTTTTTAACACTGAATCGTGCTAATTGGGCTTTTTGGACAAGAATTTGCCAAAAAAAGACTCTTTGATGCCGAAGTGAAAACGGATTTCTGCGAAGTAATGTCAATTATTTAAAAATATTAAATGTAAAATAAGTGGTTACAGCCAATCGGTGTGAGAAATGACACAGTTAGTTAAATTAAGAACGTCTGAGTGCAGTGATTGTGGTATGAAGACACCTCTATGTGGAAGGTCCAGTCACTGCTGAATCAGTGCTTCTGGCTGTAACTACACAGTGAAGGCAAAAGAACACTCGAAGCAACTCTGCACAAGTCAGGGGATGGATACAAGATTTTCGTGTCACTGAGCGTCCCTTGGAGAACGATTCAATCCCTCATT